AGGGAGGATTTACAGTCACAGACCTTATCTGGCTTGGAGAGCTGCTGCAGAACTTGGCAAGGAGTCTCGGAGAGTCACGAACCAATGAAGCGAACTAATTGTCTTCTGCAATCTCCACTCCCCTTTCACTCCTCTTTTAGTTCCTCTGGGAGGGGCCATTCATCATCTGGCCTTACTCCCAAGTCGACCCCTGTTCTATAGCTGTTCCCTTCATCTGGCAACTCTGTGCATGCGCATACTGGGAACAGGCTCCAGATGTTCTTCTGCCTCACTGACTCTGAAGGCAGCTGAGAATTGGCCAACAGCTCTGGACCCTCTCTGCCTCCGACACAAAGCCCTCATCCGAGCCTTCCCCAGACTCCAGGCTGGCCCATGTTCCTCCCCAATCTCCTCACTGTCCGAATCTGCGGTCTGCTCAGCTGGCCACTGGCAAGCCACAACAGTCATGTGTTTTGAACCAAAAAGAATACAAGTAGTCCTTGACATTTAACCACAGTGTAGCCCGAAATGTCTCTTGCTAAGCGAGATGGTCGTTGAATGTGCTTTGCCCCATTTTACACCCTTTCTCGCCGCCGTCGATAAACAAACCCCTGGCACTGTTAAGTTAGTCACACAGTTGTTAAATGGATCTGGGTTCCCCATGGATGTGGCTTGTCAGAAGATTGCAAAAATGGATCAGTGACCAAGAGTCTGAATTCTGATCACCTGACCACAGGCAAGCTGCAACAGCCATAAGCATGAAAAACGGTCATAAGACACTTTTTTCAGTGCTGCTGTTGTACCTTCGAAGAGGCTCTATATGGATGGTTGTAAGTCGAGGACTACCTGCATGAGAAAATGCAAAGCTCAGAATGGCGGTCGGATTCAGACAGAATTGGGTTGCAGAAACTAAGCCACCAACGGGAGGCTTTCAAGAATAGGACAATCATTTAACAGGGGTGGGAAGGAGGCTTCCTACACCGGGATGGGTGTAAGGTCTCCTGACTTGAGCAGAGGGTTGGACTAGAAGACCTCCGAAGTCCCGCTGATTTTCGGGCCTTCTGGGGCCTGGGGAAAGTGAAAAACGGACCTTCTGGTCCAATCGGAAGTCAGCAAATGGGCCGTTTCCGGTCTCCAGAGGGTCTCTGGGGAGTGGGGAGGGTCTTTTTTGCCCTCTCCAAGCTCCTAGAAAGGGTCTGGAGCCTGGGGAGGGCAAAAAATGGATCTACTGTGCTATTGCATGCCAAAAGCGTGGGTCGCGTGGGGGGGGAGGGCACATAGAATTATGGTGGTGGGCATATGTGTACACGAATCCCCCGCACTCCAGTGGTGGGTTGCAGGCGGTACGCCCCAGTATGGGTGTATCGGAGCCAGCCTGGAGTACCGGGTACCATTCCAGTACGATGCTCCAGAGGGCCCGCCCGCCCGCCCGAGCTCCTTACCTGTCCTTTAAAGCCTTCGGCACCTGCGCAACGCTCCGACGAGCAGCTGGAGCATCGCGAAGGCTTGCGGAAGCATCGCTGGCAGCTACAACGCATTCACACGACGCACACAGCCATGTGGGTGACGCCGGGCCCATTCCAACCGTACCAGTTGGAACGGGATCTGGAACCCACCACTGCTGCGCTCCCTCCGCTTTTGGTACCCGATGGCAAAAAGGGTTAGCCATCGTTGTTCTGTGTTCTCTCAGAGCCCAGAGAATTAGCTTTGGGAAAGAAGATAAAGCATTTTCCCTGGTCTGCCCAGCGCTCCGATTTTTCCACGCGCCCATCGGACCTTCTCCTCCAGGAAGACCCTCACTCAAAGACCCCCCCTTGGAACTTCCCTCTTTCTTCTTTCTTGGCCTTTGAACCCCACCCCCCAGATCTGGAGGACATGTCCCGGATGATATTGAGAACGCAAGGCCCCGACCGGCTTCTCGCTGGCTACGAGATGGTTCTCCACATTCCAATTTCGGACTCCGACAAGGTCGGCGTTTTTTACCTGCAGAGTAAGTACCTTTCCTGCTCTCCCCCCCTCTCCCCGCTCCGCGGTACAACCAGTGGTGAAATCTATTTTTTTAAACTACTGGTTTATTGTGGGCGTGGCTTGGGGCGTGGCTTGATGGGGGGTCATGTGACTGTCTGAAAGAATGAATTGTTTCCTGCAAAAGCCCACTCCCCTTTTGCTCCTCTTTTATTCCCTATGGGAGGGGCCATTCACCTTCCACCTGTGGTTTTATTCCCAAGTCGACCCTGATTTCTCAGCTGTTCTTTTCTTCTGGCAACTTTGCACATGCCCACACTGGGAACAGGCTCCAGCTGTTCCTCTGCCTCACTGCTGTCTAGCTCCATAGGCAGCTGATAACTGTCAGACGCCCTTGGCCCCATCTCTGCCTCTGATGCAGAGCCCTTGTCCGAGCCTTCTCCAGCCTCCAGGACTGGCCCATGCACCTTCTCATCCTCCTCACTGTCCGACTCTGCTGCCACAACAAGTTAGCAGTAGAAAAATGAGATTCTTCTGGCTCTCCCATCTCTTTGGAAAAACAGGAAAAATTCTCCTTTGAAGTCGGAAAAGTTTACGTAACTTTCCTGGCAATCTGACAAAAGGGAGAGGGGTTTTCTGGGCCTTCTTTCCCTGTGATTCATTTATTTTTTTTAAATGATTCCCCTTCTACAAATTTCCTGGCTGTTTCCATCTCAAATGCAAACTGGGTCCAGCCAGGTGAGAGGTCGTAAAGCTCGGTGGCTCACGAGTGCTTGAGGTTTTTTTTTTCCCCCTTTCGCGGGAGAGGAGATGGGTGGATGTGTCCATTTTGGTCCACACATGCAACAGGATACTCCGGGTGGCCGCCTTGCCAGGGAATCAGGACATCTGAGCAGGCCATGTCCATTTGGCTGGTCTCATCATCGGGAGACCTCTTGACACCCTTGGGGTGGATGCTTTCCTGCAGATTACACAAGGCCCTTTCGGAGGAGCTGATGGGGGAGCGAATATCAGCCCGGCCTCCAGAACCATAGAACAGAACAGAACAGGGAATAGAAAATAGAATAGAGACTAGACTAGACTAGACTACAATAGAATAGAATAGAATAGAATAGAATAGAATAGAATAGAAAATATGGAATGGAATGACAAATAGAATATAATAGAACAGAATAGAATATAGACAGAATAGAATAGAATAGAATAGAATATAGACAGAACAGAACAGGAGAGAGAATAGAAAATAGAATAGAGACTAGAATAGAGACTAGAATAGAATAGAAAAGAAAAGAAAAGAATAGAAAAAAAAGAAAAGAAAAGAAAAGAAAATATGGAATGGAATGACGAATAGAACAGAATAGAATATAGACACAATCGAATAGAATAGAATATAGACAGAACAGAATAGAATAGAAAATATGGAATGGAATGGCGAATAGAATAGAATAGAACAGAACAGAATATAGACAGAATAGAATAGAGTAGAGTAGAGTAGAGTAGAGTAGAGTAGAGTAGAGTAGAGTAGAGTAGAGTAGAGTAGAGTAG